AAGAGGTTATAATGACAATGATAATCCCATTGGGTTTGTGCACTTTAGAATTTCCGTAATTTATAAATAATGTACTTTTTAAAACCTGTTTGAAATAGCTGAAAATAACACCAGTGATTTTTATTAATTGGAGTCAAGTAGTTTAAAATATGTCATCTCCATTTGAAAAAGGCTCTGGGAAAGGCTACATGATGGAGGGATGTGCATAAATGTGGGTAAATATACTGCAGGTGTGTATGTATGATGTTCCTGATCTTTTGTTTTTTGGTTTTTTTCAATAAATTTACCTCTCAGGGCTCCGGGCTTACTTCCCTACGAACCTTTTACAATGGTGGCAGTAAAGATGCTCAAAGAAGAAGCCTCAGCAGATATGCAAGCAGACTTTCAGAGGGAGGCAGCCCTCATGGCAGAATTTGACAACCCTAACATTGTGAAACTCTTAGGTATGAAAATACAAATGAAGATATTTATTTCACCAGAAAACAGTAGTTTTCCAAGTTTTTTTCTTCCTTTATACTTCACTTATTTATGTTTTTTCCTTTATTTCTTGTTCAGGGAGATGTTTCTGTTCCCCTCTAAGCTTAGCCTCTTCACCCAGATCTATCCCAACCCATAGGACATTCATTGCTTAATGGATTCATCACTTCAGATTTTCTCTGTCTTTGTTGCCTCCTTACTATTACTAAAGTGTTTAATATGTTGCTATAGCAAAGACTCTTTCATTGACATCGTTTCTTCATCATAAAATTTATCAATGTTGAATAGACTAAGTATTTTTACTTGTTTATTTTGTTTTTTCTCTTTCTTTCCTTATTGGAATGTTATGAAGGCAGGAACGCAAATCCTTTTGGGTTCATTGTTTAATTCCCGCTTATTCAAGTATTCATAAATTCAACAAATATTTAGTTTGTTTTAATTATCAATGATGAACAAAACTTTTTAAAAATCCTTCTGCTCATGGATTTTACATTCTTTTGGGAAAGACAGATAATAAAAATAACACAAAAATATAGTATACTAAATACTGAGTTCTAAAGACTGTTTTAAAAATCAAAGTAGAAAAGTTTTTGTAGTGTGAACTAAAAATTTTAGAGACTTCCATGAAAATATAACCTGGCAGAGGAAAAGGAATAGCAATGTGGATATCTTGGGAAAGAACATTCCAAGAAGAAAGAAAAGCACTTGTTTGCAAAGGTTCTGCAACAAGAGCATGTATGGCATGCTTGAGAAAGAACAAAGAAATGAGTGTGGCTGGAGCCGAGTAAAAGAGGAAAAAGTTGTAAAAGATGAGATCTGAGAGGTAATGGGCAGATCCTCTCAGGCCTTATTAAAAACTGGCTTTTACTCTGAGCAAAATGGGAAGCAAATGGAGAGGTTCAGTCAAGAAATGACATGACATAACTCACATTTTTCCAATTTTCTCTGGCTGCTTTCTTGAGCATAGTCTGAAGTTAAGCAATGAAAGCAGGGAGACGGTAAACAGGTATTGCAAAAATGCAGAAAGAGAAGATGTTGGCATGGCCCAGGTGGTGATAGTGAGGATAACGAGAAGTGGTTATATTTTATGTGTAATTCAGAGGCAGAGACAAATAATTTGCTGGCAGACCAAATGTGAAATTTACAAAATAGAAGAGTCAAAGATGGTGCTAAGATCTTTGGCTGTGCAGTTGAAAGAATGGAGGTGTCATTGACTGAGTTGAGGAAGTCTCTGGAGGAGCAGGTTTCTTCAGTGAAGAGAGTAGGAATTCACTTTAAAACATATTTGTTTGAAGTTTTTATTCAACATCCAGATGGAGTTAAGGAAACAGGTAAATATAGAGGCCTAGAGTTCAGAAAAGATGACATGGTTATAAATATAAATTAGAGGCTCTTCGAGCATATGGAATATGTAAAGTCCTGAGACCGGCAAGACACCAAAGCATGGGAAAAGAATGGTCGAAAAGAGGAGGTCCAAGGACCAATCCTTGCAGCATTCCAACACTTAGGGTGAGGAAAAAAATATATGAGCAAGCAAAATATGCTGAAAGGGAACAAGTAGGAACTTGAAAAGGAACAAGTAGGAACTTGTGATGTCCTGGAAGCCAAATGTAGTATTATCTAAGCGTTGACAGTGAGCATGTTACACACAATAAGTCAAATGAAAGAAGGACTATAAAAAGACCTTGGATTTGGAAACGTGGAGGTTCACTGGTATCCCTGATAAGTTAAGTTTCTGAGGAATGTTGGGTACAAGAGTCAATGTAAGTGAGCTAAAAAAATAGGAGGAGAAAAACTGGAAAATATGAGCAATGTGTTTTGGGACTGAAAGGTGGAAAAAGAAGCACACTTTCAATGTGAAAGTAACAGCATATTTGTAAACAAAGAAAAATTGATGAAAGAGAATGGCACATAGCAGAAGCAATGTCTTTGAGTAGGAAGAGAGGGAATGGGATCCAGGCGTCATTGGAGGGACTGGCCTTTGTTAAGAGAATGTCCAGATCAGTCATAGCAATAAGAGAAAATGGGCATAGATGTTGGTGGGAGATTGTAGAAGGTCTTTTCTGAGTGATGTGGCTTTCTCTGTGAACTAAGAATAAAGATTATCATCTGAGAGTAAGGATGAGAGAAGAGAAATTGAGGATTTGAGAAGAAAGAAATGGCCATCTAGGAAAATAAAACATAAAATGGACTAGAGAAATACAGTGTGATTGGCAAGTGTATTAAGAAGTCACTTGACGTTAGGGCTTATGAATTTAACATGAGACTGGTTATCACAGTTTTGTTTTCATCCAAATACCACCATGGGGGTGTAGGTCACTTAATGTAGAGTTGAATTTAATCAGAATTAACATTTTGCCACATAAGTTAAATAAAGCCAAATTGGGGCAAAGAATAAGGGTGCATATAAAGGATTGGCTATTATGATTGCTGAAGGAATTTAAGCTATGTAAGGAAAAAAGAAAAACATGAGGGGACAAGAGATCATGAAAAGGGGATAGGATTAATGAATTAAAAGTTCCAGTGGGGTCAAAGGGTTTTTGGAGTTAGGACACTAGAGGAAGTTAACTAGGGTAGAAAAGGAAGGAAGATAGTGACCAACAAATGGGATGAGATTATGGGAGGTATACAGACACACGAAATGACAAAGTCAAGGGTATACAATGAGACTGAGGGCTTACACTGGGTAAAGGTCATAGGAAAGGAAGCCAAGTAACTGAGAGGTCAAGATATTGAAAATAAATTACAAGAATATTAAAATCAAGAATTTCTCTAACAACTCCTAGCACAACGTAGGCATTCAATAAATATTTCATTAAACAAACATACATATATTTTCATTTCAACATTTCTTAAAACGTTGACTCTGCAGTCATATATAAGTATTTGCAATTTTACAATATTCTGAATTCCTGGTATTGATTCAAGCTATGTACAATTTGCAAATTTATGATTACTGTGATAGCATGCTTATACATCACTACTCAGGGTTTTTGCTCATTTTTATTGTTCAACAAGAACTCAAACTTCTATAGCCATTTGTTAAATGCTGTATCTAAAATTCCATTTCAATATCCTAGAAGCATAGAGTCTGTTTTTATTTGAGTATATGTAAGCAGTAATCATTCACGCATGTGACTCCGCTACTCTCATAGTTTCTTGGAAAATAACACATTTAAATAAGATGACAATGGTGGAAAGAAGGGGAATTGGGAAAATCCATGAAATTCACTACCAATAAAATGAATGTGCTTTGTTTCATGCATTTGAAATGAGGCACTTACTGAATATATTTTTATCTTAAAACTGATTTCATTAGAATCCTAGTGTATAATGATTTTACAGTCATAAATTTGGAGAAATGAATACAAATACAGAGATATTTAGCATTTTAGAATAAGAGTAAGCATTAGAAATTATAGACTCTTACCCAATATAAAGCAGTTGAGGAAACTGTAGAACAATGAGGTAAGATGATGTGTGGGAAATGCCACAATAAAGGTTTATGTCTTGGACTAGGCATAAGACTTTTTTTTATGACCATCTATCTTTAAATCCATTCATCTATCTTTAAATTCGTGAATCCATATACTCATTCATCTTTAAATCCATTCATCCATCTATCTACCTATTTATCCATCTATCCTACCATTCATCCATTCATCCATCAACAAAGTGAGCCATAACCCCATGGTGAGTCATGTGTTATTAAGCCTGAGGTTACAAGGGTAAATAAAACACACTCCTTCCCTCAAGACTTTCGTTCCACTTTGAAGTCCCAACTAAGAGCTAGGTTAGAGCTATTACAATGTATACAACATTTCAAGCTCTTAAGTATACATATATATTACATATATAATTATAAGTGATAAATATACATGTATATATAATTGTTCATAATTATCATTAAGTAGAAATCTTTCATATATTTTCTGTAACAAAAGTAGAAATTTTCATTAAATAAACTCAGTTCAATTTTTTATTTCTCAGAGAAATATGTTGTCATATTTTTTTCTAAAATAAGAAATTATTTTTAAATCAATTCAAGCAGTATAACAATGGTAAAGCAGTTGTTAAGACAGGTAAATCATAAAGATGATCCAGTGAGAATTCCATAGAAGAAACTTATGGGATGAGATTATGGGAGGTATACAACCCTGTTGACATTTAATTTTCTTTTTCATACATAAGCATATGCTGATTGCTAAAATCTCTGGAATTAATGCCAAAATAAATAAGCCAAGATTACAGCATTCCTTATTTCTACTCTTTTTCAAACAGACTTCTAACTTTTGCCTAAAAAAAAGCTCTAATAATCTACATATATGGTGATGTGAAATTGTGCCTATCTGATCTAATATTCCAATATTCTAGTTGCCCTCAAATATATCAAGATTTTAAGATTTGCAAATGTTCTTCTGTCATGACTCTATATTAACTGTTTTTTAGAAAATGAACATTGTAAAACCTAAATTTTAAAATGTGCTTTACAAAATACTTCCTCTAAGAATTTTAGATTATTTTTGTTATTCTTGTAAAACTTTCTACATCTTCTTTATTATCATTCTTCAGAGAAATAAACAAAAACACAGAGCACATATTACATACTCAGCGCAAGTATTCGTTCATAAATTCATTGAACAAACCTACTCTGCCAGACACATGGCAGGTGTGGGTAATTTAAAGAAAAAAAGATATACTCTCTCCTTTCAAAGTGTTGAAATATTAGAAAGAAACCTCAAACAAGCAAATGATTATAAACTAGGATGGTGGTTACTTCACTCTCTCTGGGATGCCTCAGTTCCTGACCCTTCCAGTATCGTTAGGTTTTCCTTCTATACTGGAAAGGTCAGGAACTGAGACTCCCTAGGGAAAGCATAAATAAGCTGAATCTTAAAAGGTAAATAAGAGATGTTTAGACAAAGAAATGGGGTCAGGGTTCCACAATGGTGCTGTCAATAAAAAACCGGAGGTTGGTATTTTCTGATCCCATCATTCGCTTTTGTAGTGCTCTTCCCATGTGTCATTGTAGAAACCAAGGCTAACGGGATGTTCTTGTTGTTTTTAGGTGTGTGTGCTGTCGGAAAGCCTATGTGCCTGCTCTTTGAATACATGGCCTATGGAGATCTCAACGAGTTCCTCCGCAGCATGTCACCTCACACCGTGTGCAGCCTCAGTCACAGCGACTTGTCCATGAGAGCTCAGGTCTCCAGCCCTGGACCCCCACCCCTCTCTTGTGCTGAGCAGCTCTGCATTGCCAGGCAGGTGGCAGCGGGCATGGCTTACCTTTCAGAGCGCAAGTTTGTCCACCGAGATTTAGCCACCAGGAACTGCCTGGTGGGCGAGAACATGGTGGTGAAAATTGCTGACTTTGGCCTCTCCAGGAACATCTACTCAGCAGACTACTACAAAGCTAATGAAAACGATGCTATTCCTATCCGTTGGATGCCACCGGAGTCCATTTTCTACAATCGCTACACCACTGAGTCTGATGTGTGGGCCTACGGCGTGGTCCTCTGGGAGATCTTCTCCTACGGCCTGCAGCCCTATTATGGCATGGCCCACGAAGAGGTCATTTACTACGTGCGAGATGGCAACATCCTCTCCTGCCCTGAGAACTGCCCGCTAGAGCTGTACAATCTAATGCGTCTGTGTTGGAGCAAGCTGCCTGCAGACAGACCCAGTTTCACCAGTATTCACCGAATTCTGGAACGCATGTGTGAGAGGGCAGAGGGAACAGTGGGTGTCTAAAGTTGAAGAAGTTCAAATAAAATGCTGCAGTCTCCTTCTCAGACTCTGTGAGCCAGAGGAATCCTATACCAGAAGCCCAACAGGACCCAGATGGGAAAGAATAATAGTGGACACGAGTATCTTGTTTCCCAGGAAAAACCGAAGCAATGTAGAAACCACGTGGTAGATGGACCGGTGGAAGGCCAGTGATTGGAAACAGGGGCTGTGTGTCAGATAACTGGAGATAACTAATCTTCCTCACAGGGGAAGTTCGTAACATTCATTGCACAGAAAAGAGAGTCATGCTGTTCAGTTACCAAATTAGCTAGCCACAGAGTAAGGCTCTACTATATTAAGCTTCAATATGAATTGGGAATCAGAGCTTTATTTTTTAATAGGGTTAATTCCTGCCCATTGTGAAGGTAGCATGATCTTCATGTAAGACATTTAGGTAAAGTATAGAAAACTAAAAAGAAGGAAGAATCATTCATTCACCACTTCAAGATGGGTGTTAGTTTCTGGTTGAATTGCTTTTTGCATTTAATGCATAATTTTGATTGATAGAGGATTTCTAAGGAATAAAATGACAAATGAACAAAGCTATGTCCTTACTGTAATTTTGAGTTCTCTTTTCTGTCTTTGTGCTCCTGCTTTAGAAGTTTTTCCTTTGTGTGCACTTGTCATGAGTTTAATCTGCCTATTTTATTTCTCCAATTTCTCTGAAAATGTTCTTACCTTTTTAAATTTACCTTTTTCTTGGAAAATTTTATTGGTGCCTTCTCCTTTGCTTTAATCTTTATCTCTTCCCCATTCCAGGCATTCTGTCTTTTTTGTTATTGTTGTTTAGCCACTTTTGTCTTTTTGTTTCATACATACAATAAACACTCTGGCAGAAATAATATTTTAAATAACATTGTAGGCTGATATTTCTATGACTTTTGCAAAATATTACTATTTTTTCTGTATTTGTCTTTGAAGTCACACATTTCAAATTTGCCATCTTTAATTTTACTGTCACAGTCTACTAAATCTCTTGTACTATAGTTTAAAATATAGAATTTCACAAGATGGCCTTGTGGCTCTGAGTTACTTCAAAACTGATCTATTTTTGCATGCTGGCATTTTTTTTCTTCTAGAAGTCAATTCAGTTGGCTGTAGAATTATTATAGTGCTGCTTAACAACTTTCTGCATGATATGTTAACCTATCTTGGTATATTTTATGATTAAAAAAAAACACTGGAACTCAAATTACTGGTGCTTAGGATTTATCAATGGAGCCCCACACAGTACATCTTTATCTAAGTCCAACACAAATGAGTGTATTCCTGATATAACATGACCTAAATTCTCCTGGCAAGCAAATAAACAGGGAAGAGAAAATAGCAGTTTACCTCAGTTTATTTTAATTCAAACTAATTGGTAGTTAGGGCAATGGAGAAATTTGTGTGAATTCTTGAAAGTAGATTTGTACGGTCTGCTGGAAAACTACATGAAATCCCCAAATCTGTCTAATGCTACACTTTGATATCTGTGCTGGGAAACCTGCCATACTTTATTCATAGTCTCTCTAGGGAAGCAAGACAAAAATGAAGAAAATACCCAAGACTTTGCCTCTCCTTCATCCTATCAGTTTCACTTCCTAAAATCTTCCTACTCACATCCTCTTCCCTTCAGCCCAACAGCCAATGACTCAAACTCTATCCTTGCCCTCCTGTTTATTATCTGACCTTCCTTTCATTTCAAGCCTGAGAAGATCCCGTGGGCTACAGTGATGGTTAGGAAGTGCTTATTCACAGTTCTGATCCATAAACAGGGAAGTCAGAATTTAGGCTTGAGACCCAGAGAGGTGCTTTAGGTGAAATTCATGATTGTATGTTCAAAATTGATAATGCCATCCAAAGGACTGGATGAAGAATAAAGTTGCAGCATGAGTTCAAAACAGAAAGTCAAGAAGTCAACAAGGCAGAAAAGCTGGAGAAGGCCACTAGCAAGTCTAGAATGTTGGTGTAAATATCCATGGTATGTTTTAGATGGTTCACATATGTATGTCACATGTGCTCTGCAAAATTCAAATATGCCTTTGGGTTTTCTCAGCTAATAAAGTTTTATGGTGAAAGAAAGACATGGAATTCAGGCAGATAGGAAACATAGTAACTAGCAATACAAGTTATAATATCAGCTAGCATTTATTGAAAGCTTATCATGCATATTGTAAGGCCTTTAGATATATTAACGTACATCTCACAACATCCCTATGATGTTGATACTATCATTATGTCCATTTTTTTAGGTGAGGAAAAAATGACAGATTATATAACTGGCCCAAGCACACAGAGAAAGAGAGCCTAATGTTTTACTGAAAAAGGCCTAGTTCTCAACCACCATACTTTGAGTACCTTTGTACATTATAGAAGAAACAACCATGTGGAAGTGATTGCACATAGTTTCAAAGCACACACTATACCCCTTATTCTATTAATGTCTTGTTCAAGTCTTTTTAATGAACAGCAAAAAAAAGTATATTTTAGTATTGTCATTTTAAGTTAATCAAAATATTCCATAGATAGCATGTTTATATTTTCATGAATTCTAATTGCATTCTCAAGTTAAGATTACTAACTTATTTTCTTAGTGCTCACTTTAATGTTCTGGATCATGAGAATAGAAATGCATTATTTACCAACATTGTTTCCTTTTTTAAAATAAAGTTTTTTTCCAAGGTGAAATCATTAAATAAATTTTAAAAAGAGATAAAAGAGAGACACTCACAGTGCCACTGTTTCCAGGTGCCAGGACAGACATCAGGAAAGCACCAGTAAGTCATTTTAAGTGGTCAAATATCAAAACATGGCAAGAATACCAAGGTATTATGTACATAACACCAAAAACATATTCTCTGGTTTTGTGATAAAGCAGAAAAGAAAACTTTATTTTTACTTTACAGTATATCATGAACCTGCTTTATATCATTAAGTATTTTTCTAAAAATCTAATTTAATTTCTTAATAGTATCCCATTTTATGCATATGCCATAATTTAGCTCAATCTTTTCTTTTGGAGCATTTGGATTTTTTTCTCATTTTTATCATTACAAACAATACTGTCATGATCATTCTTATTAGCACATGTCCATATTTCTCTTTATGAAAATTCCCAGAAGGGAAATGTCTGATCCAACTGGCATGTACTATATTAACACTTCTGCTAAGTGTTAATTATTGCTAAGTATTATTTTATTCTCTAGAAATATTGCTTCCATTTCTGTATTGTGCAAGAAATCTCATAGACCTAATATTTTGCTATTATAGAGAATTGATTGTGTTTTTAGAAACCTTTTGTCTATTTTATTATAGAAAAATAAAATCTCATTTTAATTTTATTTTTTGACTTACTGGTGAAGTCGAATTTTTCTTGTTCTTAGGTCACTAATAGTTTTTCTTTTGGTAATTGTCTATAGCTCATTTTTCCATTGTGTTTGTTTTCTAATTGAATTGTAAGACTCATTTTATAAAAGTATATTAAATTTTATTCATACTTTACACAATATACACATACTTTTACCTTAAAATAGCATTTACTTTTTACTTGCAAAAGCAATCCTTTACTTTTTGAAAAGAAAATTATTATACAATGATATACAATATAGTACAATAACAAATAATAATCAAAATGAAAAAATACCAACTAACAGTAATTACCATCATGATAAATATTCTTCCAGTCTTTTTCAGATAGGTAGGTAGGTAGATAGATAGATAGATGGATGGATGATTGTTAAATTTAATTTCAAACAAAAGCAAGATTATACTATTACATTATTTCAAGCATTGTTTTTATCTCTTGATTTATTTTAAACATTTTTCACGTGAACAATTATTTGTGTGCAACATTAATTCACGGTTGAATAGTATTCTATTATATGGGTTTATCATAACTTACGTAACAATTATTCTATTGTTCAACATTTGATTTATTTTTTTCTCCATAATAAAATGTAGTATTTTGATAATCTCACTAAATTTTGTAAGCATCTATCTTAAATGATTTCTTCATATATAACTCCTAAAAATGTAATTTCTAGATCAAAGGATACATGCACTTTTAATGATTTTTAATATATTGAAAATTACCATCCTGAATTATTTTACCAGCGTACAAATCTTTCAGTCAGATAAGAGAGCCATTTATTTCAATTTTACTGATATCAAATATTAGCATTTTAGTCATTGCCAATATAATAACTTAAAGTTTTTATTTTGTAGCTTACACTTAACATTTCTTTAAATACTGATAAAATTGAACTTTTTGTAATGTTTTGAGGACAAGTGATTTGTGATTTGTCTCCTACTTTTATTTTTCTATTTGGTGTATCTTTTTCTTGTTGGTTTGTAAAAGCACTTTATATATTAAGTTACATTTTGTCATACACGTTTAACCACTTTTATCTTGTTAAAAATATATACTTATATGTGTCTTTAACTATAGGTTTTATTAATCAGGAAAGAATGTTGAATTTTCTGTTCATTCAGATGATTGCAGCATTTTCCTAATTTATCTGTTAATATATGCAATTATATAAATTGATCCTCTAATCTTGAGATATCCTTGTATTCTGAAATAAACTCTCTTTGGGTGAATCACATCAATCTTTTACTTAAGTACCAAATCTGGTTTATTAAATTTATTTGCAAGAATAAGTCCATAAAATTAAAAGTATCATTTTCCTCTCTGTTAGTGTTGTTTATTAGCATTATGACAATTTCATAAATTTAGGCATTTATTTCTCTACAATGTCTGTTAGCTTATTTTTTAATTGTAATTTATTTATAAAAACAATACATAAAAAACAAAAATAAAAGCAATACATACAATACACATGGCTTTTAAAAAAAAAACAACTCCTAAGTAGGGTACAAATGAACAAATAAGAGTCAGCCTCTTCTGTTCATCTCTAGTCCCAGCCTACTGCTGACCACTCCAACCATTTCTACTATTAGTTTGTATGATGATTACCACTGCAAACCTAACA